GTGACATCAGGGGGGTGACAGGGGTGTGACGGGGGGGTGACATCAGGGGATGTGGCATTAGGGGGTGTGGCACTCAGGGGGTGGCACTGTCCCCCCTCACCTCGATGGTGCTGTCCAGGGACCCCACGCTGTTCCGCCGGCCCCGCTTGCCTGGAGGGGGAGCAGTGAGAGGAGACCCCCAGGAGCCCCCCCAGGGCACCCCAAATTGCCCTCAGGATCCACAACCCCCTCAGGAGACCCCCCCACAGGAATCCCGAATTCTCCCTGGAAACCCCAAATATCCCTGAGGCACCCCAAATTCCCCAAAGCCCCACCGGGGGACCCCAAAACCACCCCAGAGCATCCCAGACCCCACCACGGACACCCTGAATCCTCCCTGGGCACCCCAAACCCCCCACGGACCACAAAACCCCCCCCGCGGAGACCCCAAATCCCCTCCCAGTGCCCCCCAGTGCCCCCCAGTCTCACCGCTGTCGGACAGGTCGCGCAGGGAGCTGCTCAGGGCGCTGCGTTTGAGCCCCTCGGCCCCGAACGCCTCCTCCAGGCTGCTCCGGCTGAGCCCGTTCAGCGCCTCCCGGGGGGGCCCCGCGCCCCTCGGCCCCGCCACGCCCTTCTGCTTCTCCAGCTCGGCTGGGGTCACACCGGCGCCCCCAGTCACCCCAGTGACCACCAGTCATCCCCAGTGACCACCAGTGCCCCCCCCAGTACCCACCAGTCACCCCCAGTGCCCCCCCAGTCAGCCCAGTACCCACCAGTGCACACCCAGTGCCCTCACAGCGTCCCCCCAGTGCCCTCCATCCCCCTCCCAGTGCCCCCAATGCCCATACCGGTGCTCCCAGTGCCCCTCCCAGTGCTCCCAGTGCCCCCAGTGCCGCGGCCCCGCTCACCCTCCACTCGGTATTTCTCCATCTCCTGCACCTCGGCCACGGACTCGCGGAGGTCGCTGGCGAAGCGCAGCCGGTCCTGGGGGCTCGGGGCGTTGAACACGATCAGCACCTTGCGCTCGCCCCCCGGCGCCGCCGACAGCAGCTTGATCCCAAACTGGTAATCTGGGGGGGCACAGGGGTCAGGGGCACCCCCGGGGTCAGGGGCACCCCCGGGGTCACCCAGCTCGATCCCAAACTGGGAATCTGGGGGAACACAGCACGAGGGTGGGGGGACCCCCCAGAGGTGTGGGGGTGGCAGGGGAGCATTTTGGGGGCCGTGTGGGACGTTCCGTGGGGGACACCGTGGGAAGTGCCACAAGGGGACACCGAGGAGTGGAATCACCCCAGGGACACCGTGGGACATCCCACGGAGAACACAACACTGCGGTGGGCACGGCTGGGGGAGCCTCCCACGAGGGTCCTGGGGGTCCTGGGGGGTCCCAGGTTGTACTGTGGGGCGCTGTGGGGTCCCGTGGGGTGCTGGGGGGTCCCGTGGGGCTCACAGGCGTTCTGGAAGAGCTGCATGTGCATCTCCACCAGCGGGAAGCTCTGCCGGAAGCTGTAGGTCACCAGGATCTTCTTCTTCTGGAAGATCTTTGTCACCTGCCGAGGCCACGGGGTCACCAGGGACCCATCTCCTGGGAGCGCCCCACGGGTGAGCCCCCCCCGGGACCCCCCGGGACCCCCCGCTCACCACCAGCAGGTCGTTGAAGAGGAAAACCTCGCGCTGGTGCAGCCCCAGGCGCTGGGGCCGGTTGGGGTCGGGCACCTCGTAAAGTTGGCAGCAGCAGACCAGGCGCCGGTGGGGCAGGGACAGCACCTGGGGACAGCGGTGGGGTCACACCTGGGGTGGGACACGCCCCCCACAGCCCCCCAGCCCCGCCCCAGGGTGGCAATGTGCCCTTGGAGCTTCACTGGGGTCACCCAGGGCATCACCCCGTTGGGTCACCCCAAATATCTCACATGGGTCCCATAAAACATCCCCAAGGGTCACCTGGATCATCCCCAAGGGTCACCTGGATCATCCCCAAGGGTCACCTGGATCATCCCCATGGGTCACCTGGATCATCCCCAAAGGTCACCTGGATCATCCCCATGGGCCACCTGGATCATCCCCAAAGGTCTCCGGGATCATCCCCAAGGGTCACCTGGATCATCCCCAAGGGTCGCCTGGATCATCCCCATGGGCCACCTGGATCATCCCCAAGGGTCACCTGGATCATCCCCAAGGGTCACCTGGATCATCCCCAAGGGTCACCTGGATCATCCCCATGGGTCACCTGGCACCTCCCCCGTGGGTCCCTTGGTCCCCCCGGGCGCCCTGGCCCCGTCCCAGCCCCGAGCAGAGCCACCAGCTGGGCTCACTGGTGGCTCCAGAACCCACCGGTTTCTTGCCGACGATCATGCGCTCGACGGCCTGGACCTGGGACACGTGGTCGTCGTTGGTGCGCAGCTCGCGGCTCTGGATGCGCTGGTAGATGCCCACCAGCATGTCCCGGGGGATGTCCTCGCCATTGTCCACCCCTGTGCGACACCCGGCCCCTCTCCTGAACCCGCGGCACCCGCGGCCGCTCCAGAGCCCGCGACACTTCCCCCGCCCCGAACGCGCGACAGCTGCCCCGATCTAGGACCCAGAACTCACTGCTCACTGACAGCTCTAGAACCCAGAACTCACTGCTCACCGACAGCTCCAGAACCCAGAACTCACTGCTCACCGACAGCTCCAGAACCCAGAACTCACTGCTCACCGACAGCTCCAGAACCCAGAACTCACTGCTCACTGACAGCTCCAGAACCCAGAACTCAAAACTCACCGACAGCTCCAGAACCCAGAACTCAAAACTCACTGACAGCTCCAGAACCCAGAACTCAAAACTCACTGACAGCTCCGGAACCCAGAACTCAAAACTCACTGACAGCTCCGGAACCCAGAACTCAAAACTCACTGACAGCTCCAGAACCCAGAACTCAAAACTCACCGACAGCTCCAGAACCCAGAACTCAAAACTCACTGACAGCTCCAGAACCCAGAACTCAAAACTCACTGACAGCTCCAGAACCCAGAACTCAAAACTCACTGACAGCTCCGGAACCCAGAACTCAAAACTCACTGACAGCTCCGGAACCCAGAACTCAAAACTCACCGACAGCTCCAGAACCCAGAACTCAAAACTCACTGACAGCTCTAGAACCCAGAACTCAAAACTCACCGACAGCTCCGGAACCCAGAACTCACGATCTCACCCCAGAACTCACTGACAGCTCTAGAACCCACAGCAGCTGCCCCGCTCTAGAACCCAGAACTCATGATCTCACCCCAGAACTCACTGCTGACAGCTCTAGAACCCAGAACTCACTGCTCACTGACAGCTCCAGAACCCAGAACTCACGATCTCACCCCAGAACTCACTGACAGCTCTAGAACCCACAGCAGCTGCCCCGCTCTAGAACCCAGAACTCATGATCTCACCCCAGAACTCACTGCTGACAGCTCTAGAACCCAGAACTCACAATCACCCCAGAACCCACTGGCAGCTCTAGAACCCACAGCAGCTGCCCCGCTCTAGAACTCCCATCCCCGGGCAGGGGGGCTGTGAGGGGCCACCAGGGCCTCACCTCGCAGGTTCTTGATGAAGTCCTCGAGCTTCATCTTGCGCTCGGCCTTGACGCTGGGGCTGTACATGTCGGTGTTGAGGAGGATGATGGCGAAGGCCAGGATGAAGATGGTGTCCGGGTTGCGGAACTGGCGCAGCAGGGCCGCGTTACACACGCAGTAGCGCTGGCTGCGGGGCGGACAACCCCCACGGCCCATGGGGTCACGGCGCCCCACGGCCGGCCCCGCCGCACGGGGTGGCCTCTGCGCCCCACAGCCACCCCAGGGCCCCCCGAGTGTGGGGCAGCACCCCAAGGGCCGTGGGGTCACCTAGAACATGGGCCACCGCCCCCACGAGCCCTCCCTGCTCCACAGGGTCACCCAGAACATCACTCTGTGGTCCAGGGGCCGTTCCCCAGGTCCTGCCGGTCTGTAGGGCCACCCACGGGGGCCACCACCCCTCTGTGTCCCCCCTCAGTCCTTCGGGTCACCTAGAACGTCATCCCATGGTGACCACAGCACCGTGTGGCCACGCAGTGGGGACATGGGGACCTGGGGACGTGGAGACCTGGGGACGTGGGGACCCGGGGATGTGGGGACGTGGGGACAGGGACCCACCCCTCACCTGAAGGCCTCGATCAAGCGCTCGACCTTCTGCGCCTCCCCCTGCACCCGGATGTGGGACTGGAACTTCCGCAGGGCCTCGTCCAGCTCCATCCCGGAGAAATCCATCTCGTCCACCACGCAGCTGCCGAGACCCCGCGGCAGGGGATGGGTCTGGGGGCCCCCCGAGCCCCGGCCCGCCCCCCGGCCCCGGCGTGTCCCCCCCTTACTCGAGGACATCGCGGTTGAACTGTTTCTGGCGGTTGCCCAGGAACTCGCCGATCATCTGCCGGCTCAGGCCCTTCCGCTCCAGGATGAAGTGGGCGACGCCCACGGGGGTGTCGGACAGGAACCCCCTCTCGATCAGGTACTGGATCCCCTTCTCCGGCTTCCTGCGGGGGATGGGCCCCTGCTCACCCCTGCTGGTCACTCTGGCTGTGGAGTGACCTCGAGCATCGCCTGTCCCCAGCTCGGGCCACCCGATCATCTGTGGGGTCACCTGAGGGTCACCCTGCTTTGGGGTCACCTACAGTGACACCCCCTTCCCTAAAGGGTCACCTGGAACATTGTCACATCTGGAGCCCTGGGGGACCCCCGGAACGTCACCGAGGTGTCCTGTGGGGTCACCTGGAGCGTCCCCCCACCCTCGCTGGGGTCACCTGGAACATCACCTGCACTCGCCATGGCATCACCAACCCCACCCGACCTTACCTGGGACGCGGGAGCGTCACCCGGCCCCACTGCCGGACCCCCAGCCCGGGGTGGGACCCCCAGCCCAGGTCCGGACCCCCAGCCCAGGGTGGGACCCCCAGCCCAGGTCCGGACCCCCAGCCCAGGTCCAGACCCCCAGCCCAGGTCCGGACCCCCAGCCCGGGGTGGGACCCCCAGCCCAGGTCCGGACCCCCAGCCCAGGGTGGGACCCCCAGCCCAGGTCCGGACCCCCAGCCCGGGGTGGGACCCCCAGCCCGCGCCCCCCGGCCCGGGCGCAGCCCCTCCCTCACTTGTTGAAGAGGTTGAGGCCGATGCGGTACTGCCGCCGCTGCACCACGTCGTTGTTGAGGGCTGGTGAGTCCCAGCTCTGCCGGGGCTCCCTCTGGTACGTGGCCTTGGGGGCTCCGGCGGCGCCGGGGGGCTGCGGGGGGGCGGTGGGCGGCGGGGGGGGCGGCGGGGGCGGCCGGCGGAGGCTGTCCCGGGACGAGGAGCCCGAGGAGCAGTTGAGGGTCTCGTTGGAGTTGGAGCTGCTGCCCAGGCTCTCGTTGTCCCCCTCGGAGCCCTCCTCGGCCGCGGGCGGGGGCGGGGGGCCGGGGGGCGGCGGGGGGGGCCCCTCGGGGTGGAAGCAGCGGTGGGGGGGCCCGGAGCGGGGTAAGGTGCCCCCCCCGGTGCCCTCGGGCTCGTAGGGACCCCCGCGGTTGATGGAGCCGCGGTCCGAGCGGTCGCTCAGGTCGGCGGAGCTGTCGCTCGGGGGCTCCACCGTGAGCAGCGGGGGGTGTCCCCCCCCGGCCCCCCGGCCCCGGCACTCCAGGCACGGGGGTCCCCGCCGGGGGGGC